TTTCCAAACTAGAAAGTTTTAGGTAAAATTTATTCAACTTGCTGTAAAGCAGCATATTAATTGAAGGGTAATCTTTCCTAATGCAAAGCTTGATTGGTAGTAAGAATCATTTCCCTGACTGTGTTGTGCTTTGGATGAGCTTTTAATTCACAACAAAGTTTAAAAGTTTTTAATAAGAACTGCTTATAGTAAATTAAAACCAAAATTATTTTAAAGCAGTTGAGATCTCTGTGAATATTCACATCAGTAACAAGAAGCTTTTCACTCCTAATGTTGAATCCCACTTTTCCATGTTTTTATACTAATTCAGGAGCTTCTGTTTCATTACTTTTATTTCTTCAGTGATAATGATCTGTAGCAGTTATATGTGGAAAAGATACTGGAAAATTGCATAGGAGCAAGGATGTGTCTCCCATGTGATGTCTATTTTTATTTTTGCGAAGCATAACTTAGGAGCCCAGCTACTTTTGTTCTGCTTTCAAATTCTCATTTGATTTCATCTTTTCTCTCACTTGGATGCAAAGAAGAAAGAAGAGTGACCTGGAAGCTGTCCCTGCTGTTCACATGCAGACCACAGCTTAAGAATGACTTTAGTTAAATGTTTCTGACTTGGAATGATTCTGTCTATTTGTCTCTCAATACACATTTTTTGTGTTCATCCCACGTAGCAAGGATTGCCTGTGCTAAAAACCAGTTTATTCTTCTTGCTGTTATCCAAGACATGGCATGCTGATGGGCTGGCATCTCCCACACGAGAGGCAATAACAAACTGTTTCTCTGTGAAATGATTTGGTTCGTCTTGGAAAAGAAGTCACCAAAAAGACACTGGATGAGAAGAGCGCTGCTGTGAGGACCCCGTATGCCCTCTTTACAAAGCCTGGCAGAGTTGTGAGGGTATTGTGATAACTGCTGACAATCGGCAGTGGATCTCCAGAGCTACATGGCTGAGATGAAAGGGAACAGAAACTTCACAGGGATGAAAAGTATGCCTCTGCGTACAGTACAGCCCATCGTCAGCTGGCAGGGTCATCACTCAGTCCTGGAAATGACAGGTCTGGTGAGAGAACTGAAGAAGGACAACAGTTTCCTACCCCTGCACGTGCTGCTGCATGCCCTGGTAAAGGTTTTTGGCAGATTCAGTGTCTTCCCTCCTTATAATTACGGGAACCAATATATAGAAAACATACCAAGTGCCTTCTTACTAAAATATTCCAGCGTGGGTTGTTTTTTTTATTTTAGAAGGAACACCAATTCCCCACCCTCCCATTATGCAAAGGCTCATCTCTGGTTAATATTGCTCACATGTTGCTGCGGAGACAGAGGACCAAATTCTGATATCCTGCACAAGCATTATCCCAGTGTCCTTGAAAGATTTGCTGTGGTGACAAATGGCATCTCTTAGTTTTCTGCCAGGCTGAGGGAGGCGGAGTGTTGTGGTTTAGGCCCAGCCAGCCAGCAACTCAGCACCACGCTGCTGCTCGCTCACTCCTCCCTGGGGGGATGGGAAGGAGAAAATATAAGGAAATGCTCCTGGGTTGAGACAAGGACGGGGAGGGATCACTCACCAATTTAATTGGAGCCGCAGAAGCTTCTAGCTGCTTCTCACAGGGACCACTCCTGTAACCCCTCCCCTGCTACCACAAGCCTGGCCACACAAACCCAACAGACAAGGCCATCGAAGGACGTCATTAAATGCTCTTGAGGTGCCTTTGTGATGTAAGACCCTGCTGTTTCTTAGGGTTCTTTAGAGCTAATGGGGATTTACTGAATCTTATACATGTCACAAGATACAATCAAATTATTAAGACTGATTAATGTAAAAATCATAGAATCGTTGCTTTTATGAAAAATATGAAATCATACTACTTCACGTCACTTAGGAGGTTACACCTAGAGAAACTGTATGTTGCTATCAGCAGTATGGGGGCCTATGGTATCCAGTCCTGGGGCCTTCGATCCCACCTTTCTCCTGGAAAGGGGCAGGGAGCTGCGCTATCTGTCACACAGCTGGTACATCACAGTTTTTCGGACATGGCAGCCCAGATATTTATTTTCCTGTGCCTAGAAATTCTTATGCAGTCAGTGAAGGACTCTACACTGTTGCTTCTTTCTCATCCATTCATAGGCCTGTCTTACTGTGCACCATCCCTGTGGCTGTGTTTCCCTTTACAAGGCAAGGTTAGCGAATTCAGACCCCACCGCAGCAGCCTCCGAGACTGTTAGTTCAGCTGCTTTGACCAAGTGAAAGACCCATTTGTAATGATTTCAGACAAGTTTCACTGTGTTTATTGAGCTCTTGCAGGCTCGGGTGGTGTAAGGGAGATGATCCTTTCATCAGTTGTGTGCTGTGGCTTTGTAACGTGCGTGAAAGTATCGGCTGGCATCGGGCATGCGCTGTCCCTGGTCACGGGGCTGCGAGACAGCTCTCCTGAGGAGGGGGGATCAATGTCTCTCTGTGTCAATGTCCCAGGTTTGAAGTCTTGTGGTTGTTTATTTTTAGCATGACCCAGAGAGACTCCAAGGAGGAGGCAGGTGTGGCTGGTAGAGCCGTGAAAGTGCCTCTGTCTGTGTTCCTGCTGGCTCCCCATGGGCTCAGGTTGCCTGGATTGTGGTGGTTGTTGGAAGCCTTTCTGAATTCATCTTCAAGTAATTTTCCTTGAGCCAAGTGAGCTTAAGGGCCAAGATTTTGTTCTTTTTCTAAGCACTAATATGTAATTGTCTAGACAACAAATGACTGTACCTTATTTTAATTAGTTAAACAAAAAACATTCATTATATCCTGATACTTTGCAGACACCTGCGCAGGATTTCCTAGAATCTCAGGGACATCTGTTCTTTTTCTGCTTCTCACGCTGGCTGATGAGGAATAGTACGCAGTGTTTCTCTCTGTGTCTGATCTCTCAGGCTGGAGGGAGTGAAATTACCAATGAACAGTTGGCTCGTAGTTGTATCTCAAGGACAGGACATTCTCCCTGCTAATTGGGAGACGGGGAGGATTCTTCCAACCAGTTTCAGAGGACACACGTCTCTGATCATGAAAGTATAATCTCTTAATAATTCCAAAGGAATGTTGCTCTAATACATTTAAGCACTTAGAAATGCTTCCTCATAAAGAAAAGCTTATAGCTTATCTCCCAAATGTCCACCACTGCCCTTGGAAATGTGACAAGGACCCTGTGGGCACAGTTCTCTGCTCAGACATCGTATCTGTGCAGCAGTACCCCTCGTAAATCTTGGGATTTTACAGTGGAGTTCTATGTGCAGAAATAAAAAAAGACAAGCAGAGACTGCACTGTAGGTAGAGGAGGCGGGTTTAGCTTTCTGTTAAACCAAAAATGACAGGTACTGAAGAGTCTGCAGGAGTGCAGAGCTGGCATTTTCTTTGAGTGGATCCAATGCCAAGCTGACTTGTAAACTGGACAGTCAGATCAAGGACTTCACTGGTCTTTGTGAGCCATCATAGAGTTTTCATTTCTCTATTTATTCTTAAGTGTCAAGTGTACTTTTGTTTTTAGTGAAAGACTACTGTAAGGGTATGTGAGAATAACTAATAAGTTCTGCAGTGACCCTGGGTCTGTTGCAAATTGCACCTTCTGCCCCTAATTCTAATCCTGCCTCATCCAGAAGCTTCGCTCCGTTGAGCATGCACCCTTATCTCCCATTTTAGCTCCTGCCACAGTTTCTGTAGCTTAGTTGATGGCCTTTTTGCTGAGATCTGGTCATGCATTTGCGTGCTGTTATCTAAGTCATGTGAAAAGGACGGATCTGGCTGTCATGAAATATTTTCCTGCTCACACTAACATTCAGCATCGTTCGTGTCTGTAGTAGCTGGAAAGGTTTGTGTGTCACTGGGAGGGAAAAAGAAAGTGGGTCGTTCAAAACTGAAGGCACTGTAAAACGATTACATCAACTCATGACATACAGGAGAGAGAGTTTGAGAGCCCAGTGGGTTTATTTCACATCACAGCAGTGAATTTATAAATGGGAACTATACTTGGTACTTTTTTTCCGTAGTACAGCTCATTTCTGTGTCATACCCATTACATCAAGGTGGCCAAGGGCTGAGCTTTTCAATAAAACAGCCATGCCTAAGGGGTCAGAGAGCACCTCACCCCAAAAGATCCCCGTCTGAATGCGTCAGACACATGAAAGGTTGGAAGGAAAAGAGATACAGAGAGAGAGTCTTCCTCACGGTCCCGTGAGATGTAGCAGAGTCCAGACTGTACCGTAATTCTGAAGCCACTAACTCCACAAGTTTTGGACAATTTGCTGACAGGCCCTATCCAGGTAGGGGTACTCGTCATGAGTTGGGCTCCAGAGAACTATACTCTCCAAGTGTATGTTTTTTTGGGAACAGTGATATTGTGATCATGTCTAACAAAAATAAAACATTTTTCCAACCTATCCTCACAATTATGAGATCAGTCTGCAGCCTCTGAAAATGAATTTAAACAGCACTGACACTATCAAACATGATTTGAAGTGGCTGTATATTTTATGCCTCGCTTCGCAAGGCTAACATGATGATGATTTTCTGTATTATCTGTAACATGATTAGGTCATTTCTAGCCCACTCATGTTTCTGGACATTTCAGCTAGGGCAACAGTCATTGCCAATATGGAGTCTGGTTCTGAAAGATCTCTACCAGCTTCCCCATAATTTTTATTCCAGTAATTTGAATGCTTTCAGATCTGAAAAGAGATTGGCAGTTTTTAAAGTTAGTAATAAGAATAGGGCTTTTGTTTTGTTTTAATTTTACTGAGATTAATGTCAGCATGGGAGAAATATGAAGAAAATTCGGTGGGGAATTTTCAAGTATCAAAAGGAAGTTTGGAGTACTCTGCAAATACACTTTTTCTGCACCTGCCTAGTGTTCTGTTACTGAAGTCTGCAATCAGCTCTTTCATGGACTCCTGGAAGATAGAAATGACTCCTCATTAGAGAATAACTTGAATGTCTTCATGTTAACACATTCTTATTTCCTCTATCCTTTTTTTAGATCGAATATAAGCTTTGCAATGGGTCTGACAAAGAGTGTGTGTCTCCCACAGCCAAATTCACGAAGAAGGAAACACTGAAGGTATGTGCAGAGCAGCCAAATCAGCATCAGCTGACTTTTTTTTTACAAAACAAGTAGTACCTTCCAAACAAACCATTAGGAACTACTCTGAGGCATTTCCCAAGACCCAGAGAAGCCTCCAACTCTTCTAGGAGTCATTATAGGCCAAGGGCATTTACAGGCTTTGTAGAGAGGATTAGATTACATTCTGCAAACAGAACAGATCAGTGTAATTATTTCACTCTGTTCATGTGTTCCAGAGCCATTAGGCACCTCCAGACCTTGTAGTCCTTCATTGTTCTGGTTAGGATGGGCATGCCTAGGCAATCTGAGTAGATCATTGCTTGAACACTTGCTTGTCTACCAAACCAAAAGTATAAATAATTTTGATTTGGATGAAATTAGATTTAATTTCTTTAATTTGAGGGGTAAGGAGGGATGGATGGTCAGCCTCTTCCCATTCCTGCCAAAGAAAAGTCGAATTAGATTATGTTTAGTTGAACTTCAGGAGCAAATAAAGTATCTGCTGTCTAGTTCTGGTTTTGTTCTTCCTTGTGCTCATTTCTGGGGAGCCTGTGCTGGGTCAAGTTCTAGCTGTGCTATACATAGCTGTCCTTAATGCATTATGTTCTTTCCTCCCCAAAAGAGGCCATGATTACAGCTGCTGTATTTTCTCTGTTCTCAACCAGGTGCAAAAAAAAAATTACAGACAGGAGAAGAAAAGAGCCACCAAACAACTCTTCAGTGCTCTAAAGGATCCCAGCGTAGTGATCACAGCAGACTGGCTGAAGGTATTTAATACAGACCATTGCTTCCAAGGCTGTAGGAAAAAATAAGTGAGAAGAACTTGATGTGTCTGAGACTTAGGCACTAGCGCTTTTTTGAGTAAAGGAAGACTGAATATTTTTGAGTTTAAACTGCTATAAAGCTGTACTTAAGTAACTGCTATAGAGTTGGAGTTATGTGAAATATTTACTTTCCATCTTAACCTAACTCAGTCCATCTCTTCCGTGGCTTTAAGTAGCAACAGGGCCTCAAATGTGCATAGGACAAAAGGAGGTGATGATGTTTCTTTTTCTCTTCCTCTCTGAAAGTGTCAGCTGGCATCTTCCCATAAATGTGTTTTCGTACCGAAGAGGAAAGAGGCAGAGTAACAGCCTGGAAATGGGCAGATACAGCTTGTTCTATTGACAGTTGGATTTTTTGTTGTCACAGCACAGAATGAAACATATTGGACCTGATGACAACTGTAATTTCTCCTTGTGCAAAGACTCAACTAGTGACAGCTTCTCACTGAAGTCCTGAAACTTTGTATGTGGCAAAATAAATTTGGACTGACACTGAGAGATGTTACCTTTGACCACCGTTTTTCTCCTCATTTGGAGCTGTTTAGTCTTCTTAACTGATAGTGAATTGGTTGCCCCTATTACAATGGCAAAACTTAATGTCCGAACACACCAAACACAAAACAAACAGTTTAAAAACTATGTTTAAAACAAAACAAAACCCAAACAGGACTGTCATGGTTTAATCCCACGAAATAACTAACACACCTATGGCCCCCCAGCCGACCTCTGGCTTATACACTGAGCATGACATTCTATGGAATGAAATGCTCCTTTGGTTAGGTTGGGTTACCTGCCTGAACTGTGTGTCCCCCACACACTGCTTATAGTGAGAAAGTTGGGAACACAGCTGCAGTATCAGAAGCTGACAAAGTCCTTGAATTGCTGCAAACACTCCTTAGCACCAACTAAAAAACACCAGTGTTATCAATGCTCTTCTCCGGGCAAATCCAAAACATAGCCTCACACCAGCCACTGTGAAGAAAATGAACTCTGTCGTGACTAAAACCAGCACAGGAGCTTAGGGGTTTCATGAAACAATACAATCACATTTGACCTGTGTGAAAAACCTCCAACATGGCTCTACGACCAGTTTTAAAGGCCAGAGAATTGAGATGTATATGACAAATTTGAGACTGGCAGCAAAACCTTTCCATAGTGTTTAGTGTTGATGATAGATAAATATTGAGGGGTTTTTTAAATACAGAATAACTGTTGCATGTTTGCTGTGGCTGGAAATTTCTGGTTCAGCAACAAATGATGCTGAGCCACAAAAAAAGAACAGGGACATAAGACTTGAAGTTTGGCCTGTGTACCTTGAAGACAAGAAGACCTTAGGCAACATCTAACCTTAGTGAGAAACTTCCCCATTCTCAAAGCTGTTGTCTTTAATATACACTGGCAAATTTAATGGCTTCTATGCAAGAGAGAGCATGCATTGAGCTTGCCAGAGAAGAAAACCAGCTGGAGAAGGGGCTTTTAAAAATGGGGTATTTGACAAAATCCCTTAATAGCTTTATTCTGCAGAACACTCTTAAAATTACTTGTAAGTCGAGTTAGACTAGCCGTAACATTTCTCTATTCAATGTTCTGATTGGCGTGTCCTCTGTGGTTATTAACAAACCACTCTCATGTGGGCCTGCAGTGCTGGTTGCCTAAAAAAGGACCTTTACAAGGTCTAGGATTTTGCTGTGACATCCCAAAGACTGTAAGATAACGCGGTGTATCTTCCTAAGGAAGTAGCGTGGCCTTGGAGAAACCCATACTGAAACTACCATATAAATACTGAATAAATGCTGTTCTTCTTTTAAGGAGCAACATAAATGCAACTTTCTGTTCTCTCCCTCCTTCCCTCCAGATTCGTGGGACTCTGAAGAGTTGGACCAAGCTGTGGTGTGTTCTGAAACCAGGAGTGCTGCTGATTTATAAGACGCCAAAGATTGGACAGTGGGTTGGGACAATCTTGCTCCATTCTTGTGAGCTGATCGAGAGACCCTCCAAAAAGGATGGCTTCTGTTTTAAACTTTTTCATCCTTTGGATCAATCAATCTGGGCTGTAAAGGTAACAATCCTGATGAGTCAAACAACCTCTTCTTTGTCACCAAAGTGTCTGAGCACTAGTATTATCTAGCATCGATATTATCTAGATTTGCAGTTATTCAGTTGCTGTTAGCAATGGTGAATGGACTGCATAAAAAGATTTAAGAGACCGAATCTTGGTCATGATATGACGTCAAAGGAACACAGTGCATTGCGACTTACATAAATGTGTCATTCCTGGTGTATGGATTCATGCATAGGCTGAGGAAGGGGGAAACACGTTAGCGCAGGAAAAAAGATCAATACCTAAAAGCTGTGTCAAACCATGGCCTGCATGTTTAAAAAGACACAAGGAGTAGACCCAATTAACTGACTTCCCCAAAACAAGGACACGCGAAGCACCAAATGCTTTGCATAACACTGGAAGAGGGTTGGCAAAGTGACAAAAACCAGATTAATAATTTGACTTTTTCTTTCTAATGCCTCTGAGGTTTGGAACTATTTGCGATGGATTTGGAACTTCGTGTTCTGATCATGCCTTGACTGTTCCTTAACAGTGTGACTTTGGATAGGTTGCCTTAATTTTCCCTTCTTTGAAATGGAAGTAACAACGTTTTCTCTCCTTCACTTTGAGCTTTCTTCAGTCTGTTGTTACTCACAGGCTGAGACAGTCTCTTCCCGCACACACAGTGCTCCTGCAGTGACCTCTGGATCTCCCTGTAGCACAAATGATTGATAGTTTCTCACACTTCTTAAAATAACTACCTGCAAATTTTGAGGAGCTGCATTTCTTTTTCTTCTTTCCTTTAAGAATAGTCAAAAAGAAAACAATCATCTAATGCCTGTGAGCCAAGAGGAAGACCCCAGTGCCTCCCGAGAGGCAGTGACAGCAACATCTGTTGGATACCCTGAAGGCAAAACTTAAATGTTCTTGAACACTTGTTTCCCCATTAAAAGCAGTGACTCAGCAGAGTTATTGCAGACATAAATTCTCTGGGAGACATCACCAGTGTAGGCAAGGCATTACAAGCTGCTGCTTTGCTGCAAGGTGGTCAGCTGAGTAAATCTACCTGGAAGGACTCATGCAAGAGCAATGAAGGCATTTGTCATTGGCGTCAGAAGATGGAGGAAGCCCTGTGGGAGCAGATCAAGCAACCTCACTCCTGCTCATCCCTGCAGTTAATTGAACAGTTTTAAACACAGCAATACAAGCACTGTGAAAAGTTGTGCCATTTTTAATAAGGTAGGAGTAGAGAACTAAAATTAAGCTCAACAGCCAGGGGTAAGAGCTGCTGTTTTCAGACAGTAGCTCAGCTCTGATCAATGCCCAGATGCATTGCTTTTGCTTTAAGTCCCAAAGATTTCACTGCAACCTTGCTTCTTAGTCAGTTTTAATTACTTTTTAATTCAGAGCATGCACCCAAAAAGGCTGTCCATCATTTGCTGTCCATCAGCAAAAAAATTCCTTGTGACTTGACAGGTCAACCAAATTCTTCTGAAAAACACCGCCAGGAGAGGTGGTGAAAAAGCAGAACCAAAAGTGCAGTCAGTTACTGAAAAGTAGTGTCGCTGACAGTTCTGATTAGAATGCCCTTCCCTTGACATGAATCATCCAAAAGGAAGAGGAGTTTTTATCAGTATGTGTATGTAAAGTATTTTTAGCACTTTCATGTGTATGTATATCTCGTTCTTGTGTCTCTTGAGAAAATACATGACAGAAATAGGAATTAATATATTAAATGTGAAGGGAATATATCTCTGAAAATGTTTGTGTGCTAGAGGAAGTCCCAAGAGGTTTGAATTTTAAAGACAAAGTAATATTCTAGGTCACTTGGGACAGAAAATTAGAAAGCTGCATTTGAGCTGCATAGTAGGCTATTTCCTGAAGCCTGAGCTCAGCCTGGATTGTTACGTGTGATAGATGCTTTCAGCCACAAGGTGAACACCAAAATACACATCAAGAAGAAATCCAACAGTGAACTGCTTGATGTCAAAGAAGCTGTCTACACTCTGACAACAGTTTAAGGCTGAAACTGCTAAAAATACTGTTTCGTTTTATGTCATTTCATGGCCTTCTTTTAAAGCAACGGGAGTAGAATTGACTGACCTAAATGTGTTATGTATAACTGTGCAAAGAAAGCCCATTTCTCATTAAATACAGATTAGCCCAAGCTTGAGCAAGAAGCCCAAGTTACCGTCCGTCACAACAGAGAGAAGTGGCTAAACAACTTTTACTTTTGGCTAAAATTACTTGTGAAACTTGCAGGGGTTATCCAGACTAATGGATGGTCCAGTTTTGATGCACATCAGTGGACTTCCAGCTAACTCACTCAGAGTAATTAATGAGCACCTTTGTAGGTGCTGGCCTGGCTGCTCAGCAAATGTTTGGATATAACTTCAGGGTTCACCCCTGGAACAAATGTCCGGTTCAAGCACTGTCCTAGGCACTTATAGTTGTGCTAGCCAATAAAAACTGATGTGCAGGCATTTAACTTCAGTTAGAGCAGGATTAAATTTTGAGGCACCTTTCAAATGATAAGTAGGTAAGATGTAAGACCACTGCTTGTATTTGAAAGCTCAGTACATGCCCAGGAAGCTGTTTTTCCTATATAGCTCTCTGGTGCCTAGAGCTTTCTTAGAAGGATATCGCTGAAGGGAGAACACCCTTTATTCTGCACTGCTTCCCTGACTTCTTGAGAGTTTTAGCCTGAAATTCCTTCACAATGCAAATGGATTAGACCTTTTACATTTTGCTCTGCCCAAGCCTTTGTAAACCCGTGGCCGAAACTGCCAAGGTCTCAAAATCAGTCAGCAGGGCAAGCAGCAGTGAGAAAGGCTTCCCCCACACACTTGGAATACTGCTGCAGAGGCACTTTGTCCATCACGTGAAGGCAGTTTGATCCCACCCTGCTTCAGGGAAGCAACTTTTTGCTGGGATGTCTGCAGGAGACTGGGGAATGCCCACCTAGTAATTAGTGTGGGGGGTGTGGGTGTCTGTCCTCTTGCTTTGCGAAGGGAGTATAGGGCTGTCAGCTGGCAGGCTTTGCCTGGCCGTCCCCAAAAAAATGTCCTGGAATAGATTCATAGAATCACAGAATGTTTTGGGTTGGAAGAGACCTTGAAGATCATCTCATTCCAACCCCCCTGCCATAAGAGGGACACCCTCCACTAGAAAGGTATACTTCCCTTTGAGCTTGCTCAGAATCTAGCTGAACAGCTTGGTGTGGGAAGGCTTTTATTGGCTGCAGCTTGTTCCGACATACATTTAGAGTGCTAAGTGAGTTGGGTCTGACCCACTGAATCTGGGAATATATAGAATATTAATTTTGTTGATTTTAAAAACTCTGAGTAATTCCTTTAAAGAAAAAAGTTCTAGTAGTGGCTTGTGCTGCTGCTTTTACAACTGGCTATTTCTATTTCTTTTACAATTTCTGTTCCATAATACAACACAGTTAGCTGCTTCTTCGTCCTTACAGTTACCCACAGTACTGTTAATGAAAGGGGTTTTTTCCCCTTATTTAAGCTTTGTTTTATGACTCTCCAAGACTAGATGTCTTGTCATACTATCTAAAATAGTGTGAATCTACTCCATTTTTTAAAGACTAATTAACCCCTGTTTGAGTCTCAAATGAGACCCTTTTTGAGTCTCAAATCAAAAGTAAAGGCAAGAGTGATCTGAAGATGTTCCCTTCTGAGTTGTACTGTCTAGAGGCTGCAGCTGAGCTCCTGTCCCAGTGTAGCAGGGGTAACGTTTTTTTGAGATGGTCATTGTCTTGGTTGTCTTAGACTTTAGACAGGCATGATGCTCAAAGGCAGGGAGACAGAGAGCATCAGTATCTCTACCACGCAGATACAGAACCTCATTCACTCTCTGGAGATGTTGACTTTGTTTTTATGGCCTCTTCTCTTCTCCTCTTCTTCCTGTGGGAAACAGCCCCCACCATGTATGAGCATGCCTTACTACTGAATACGTTTCCTTGACAGAGTGACCTGGCTGCAACTTGTGTTTATCCATATGCCTGAATGTCTGTTAAAACCTTGTGTATCCCCTCCTTCCCTGCTCCCCCTGTTTTTTTTTAACAATGGTTCTCTGGGTGTGTACTGTTTGGTTGTAGGGGTTTTCCTCCAACAGAGCAAATACCAACCCCTGCACTGAAAACACAAGCAATGGCGTTAACAGTTCTCAGACACCCTGCTCAGCTGTAAGCTACTGAAAGGGAAAATGCCATCGGGAGTGATGCCTGATTGCATTAATGTCACTAGTAATGTCTTAAGCTGCTCTGCTCTGGTTTACTAATCAAATCTCAACTTTGCCAGTCCTGACTATTAAGCCTTTAAACAGTCTTAATTTTGTGAGCCTCCTGTGGGAGAGGGGAGGGGAAAAAGAAGTGAATAACAAGGATCCCAATTGCTCCTGGCAGCAGCAGAACCCTGCAGATATGAAGATGAGAAGCTAGACTGGAGACTGTTGTCTTCTCATTACTGCATCTTCGTGGTGTAGACTCAAGATACAATGTGATGCTTGTCCTATGCTTGCACTCTTTGTTCTTTCCAAATTCTAGTTTCCTGCGTGGAACTCAAAATCAAAAATCCAGATAAACCCACCATTTAACTACCTGACACTTGTTTACAGGAGCAGTTTTCAGCAGCAGTCACAGTTTTGCTGCTTACAAACTAATGCTAGAAAGAAGCCCTTTCAAGGAACGGGATGGGATACCATAAAGGCCCATGTAAGGGAGGAGAGTCATACTCAAGCTATAAAAATTTGCCTAAGGATTTTCAGCATTGTGTGGTATTCTCTAGAAACTCAAGGAAATCTGTATCTGAACACCCTGGAGAAAACTGCTTGTTCCACCCTGAAGCTGGCACAGTGATCATGCAAGTAGTGGTGATGTTTTCTGCTCTGCCTTTATTTCTGATCTGATGTCTGCGTATTTGGAAAAGGATCTGCTTTCACGTTGTTTGTCACAAGGTGAGGAAGAGAAAGAACTGGAGGAAGCTGGGTCACTGTGGAAATGCAAGGGAGGAGGAGGGACTCCTGCTTATTTCAGCCAGGTTGTGGCATGAAGTCCATACCATGGAGAATATGAAGCTGTGCTCACCGGGTACAGGAACTGCTTTTTCTGAGCAGCTTCTGGAGCTCATAAGAGGAGAAAACAGGGAGAAGATCGAGGTGGTTCTGCTCAAAGAAGTGCCTAATCCAAGATGGACTGTGCCTCCCTGGGAGTTATATCTGGAGGGTCACGCTGAAGGGATTGTGGCAGGATATTTACAAGACACTATCGTCTTTTTTGCTACAGCTCCTAAACTAAAGGCAATATGAACAATCAAAGCCTGTTTTTGTTAAAGCCTGGAGTGGCTGTCACCCCAGGCACCATGGCATAAAGTTTCTCACAGGGTCTGGCTGTAGAAGTGAAGGGTTGCAGCACAGCAGCATGAGCCCAGGTTGGGAGACCTTTGGTCCTCAGCCTGTGGTGTTCCCTGTCTCCTCCTTTCCCACAGACAGGTTTGCAGAATGGAGTTTTCGCTTTATTTCCCTCCAGAAAAGCTGTCATTGCCACTCTGCTAGAGGCACTCACAGAACAAGGTGTGGGCTCTGCCCCATTTATGGTGACACATCAAGGGTGTTTCATTACTAGCGTGTCAGGCTGCAGGCAGACTCGACGTGCACTGCATGGAACAGTCCGTTCAGGCGTTGCACAGATTGGGGTAAGAGCAAATATTTGACCGTTTTTGTCCCAAGTGACAGGAATGAGATTCTTCCAGCCCTGAGAATCTGAATAAACAGGGTAGGTTTGGGGCTGAGCCTAGGTTAGACCAAGCCCCATTTACGTCAGAGCTCGTTACTGCTTTGGAGCTGCAGCAGCAATACCGTGATTACTAATGAGTCTCTCTAAATTACTCCATCTGCTCCTTCCTTCTTTCCTAACAAACACACGCACTTTGCCCAGGAAGGGTAGAAAGACGTTGAACGGTCCATTGCATCTTATGTGACTTATATCTTTTTCTCTGTGTGCATTTCCAGGGCCCAAAGGGAGAAAATGTTGGTTCGATCACTCAGCCTCTTCCCAGCAGCTACTTGATTTTCAGAGCAGCCTCTGAATCGGATGGTAAGTTTTGGTATTCATTTGCTTTTTTCAGATTGCATACTCTGTGCTACTGAAGGAAATATGTTGATGAAAAAGAAAATTGATATGTAAGGTAAAAATGGTGGCTCACCCAGTTTGAGATGCCATTGGCTAGCAGCGGTCAGGGTGGGTCAAGCAGACTACAGGCACATTTCATATCCTTCACTGAACAGCCACCTTTTTGGCCATGTGTATGGAGCAGGAGCTAGGCTTGCAGCTGGGGAAAAAAACACTAAGTTGATATATACTGAAGGATGAAAGGAGTTGATCCCAAAGCTGGGATGAGAGGGGGGCTGAACTGTTTCTTCAGTTCAGCAGAGACTTCAGTGGGTTATCTGCCTGTGTCTCACCAGGCAGAGGTCTGTTAAAGGGAAATGGAATAGTAATATTGAAGAACTGTTGATAGATGTCTCTCAACCGACAGAATCCTCCTGTAAACTTGCTGTACCTTGTTTTACAGTACAGCAGGCCCAGATGCTGGTGACTCCACATGTAAAATACCATTCTGTGAATTAACAAAATTACGGAAAGTAAATTTAGGTCAAAATATAACAGTAATGCCAGCTTGCTATGTGAAAATCTCTATAAAATACTTCAGCGGACCTAAAAGATCAGTGATTTATAAGTAGATAAGAAGATTAAAAACCTGTTTTCATTCCATTTGACCTTCAGAATACTGTAAATTATTTTTGCCATAGCAAATTAACCCAGACTGTTAATTTTATGGGTATTTTTTATCTACCCCACCCAGGGTGCTCATGTAACCTATGTGCTCCTTTGGGTCTCATCTAAAGTAACTTTAAGGACACAAGCATTTTTTTATGGAGCACAGTGGGCTTTGAAAGCAGTGTCCTTCTGGTCCAGTGATTAAATTTTACATATTCCTAAAGACTGGAAATGGGACAATGTCAAATGCACCTTTGAGATGGCACTGAGGATAAAACCCTTCTTTCATTACAGGCTTGGCGTGCTGTTATTCCTACCACTGCGCAAAGACGGCTGTTCATAGTGAGGGATACCATCTCGACACTCAAAGCTGCTTGCAGATGCCAGTGTAGTGAGATGATAGGAAAATAAGTGGAACTTGCGTAGGGTGGTAGAAGCACATCTGTTTCCTTTGTAGCTTATAGAGCAGGACAGCTTATTTGTGTAAAGGAGTACAGGATTCCAACCTGGCTCCAAATATCACCTGGAGAGGGGTATCTAGATAGGGGTGTCTAGAAACAGATAGATTGCTATGATAGTCTCTTAGGAAAAAAAAGTGTTCTTGGGGATAGAGTTGCTAAATTACAAGCATTTCAAACCGTGGTTATACAGACAGCCTGCAGAATAGGTATATGGAACAGTCCCACAGAGTTCTTAAGCAATCAAATAGCTTCAACAACTGTCTGTCAGTCCAGATTTTCTAAACTATTATTTCCTTACAGATCCCTGTAACTTGTCTTTCCATTAACTTAATTAGAAAATGCACCTAGGAACCAATGTGGTCATTGTGTATGTTCAAGACAAATTACTGTCTCATTAAGTACTTTTTTTCTGGCATTTTATCTGTCTTCTAAATGAAAAGTTTCATTCTGGTGGAAAGCTGATGATTAAACCGTAAAGCCAGCCTGGCAAAGAGACCTGTGGCTGAACTTGTACTCTTCCTTTTTACAATGACTGCCATAGGCCAGTTATGCAGAGCAGAACAGCTTTAGATTTGTTCTAACTCTCCTTACCCATAAAGACTCCCAAGCTAGCTATTGGTCCCAAGAGAGCAGCAGAGGTAAGGCTTTTCTAGTTGTGATCTCTCTGGGTCAAACACCACATGCTGAAAAAGCACAAAAGGCACCGTATCTGGCACATGAGATTTTTCAATATTTAAATGCCTGTGGGAAGCTTTCTGCCCAGTGAGTTATTACATGTCTCTGGTATCATAAGAGCTTAAAATAGTGAATTACTGGAATGTATATTTAGAGTCAGGATATTGGCCAAGATTCTTGGGAAGCATTCTGAGGCCAGGCAGATCATAATTGAGTTACTTTAGGATTTAGTATGATTTTCCTTTACTTTGCTACTTCTCTACAGGGGAGTCTTAAGGTTAGATGGAAAGCGAATGTGTTCAGGGGAAGGAGGAGGAACTGAGGTACCTCTCAATCAAATATTGTAAGCGTGTATGTAGAAAATAACTTGGGCCTTTGATTAAGGATGAAATAATGTGTGCTCTGTATCCTAGAGCCACCTGCACGGATTTGGAGCCCCCACATTACACCTGGTAGATCCTGAGGAGGTGACTGTGACAGCTGATGTGAAGCTTTGGGATCTGTCCATTTAGCAGTGGACTTCACAAAAAAAAGAGTGTTGTATTACTGCACCAGAAATACTAGCATGAAAAATGGTGTCATTTTCAGCTGAGTGAGAATATTTGACTTCACAGCTGAGGTCAGTGAGCTGTGAGAAGTGGCTGTACCTTGTGCAGGAAGGGAAGGATGTGAGTCTGCAGGCAGGAGGGAAGAACAGCTCCTACCCTCGGACCAGCCTGCCTCCCAAACACAAGAGCTGTGCTGGCATGGTGACCGTGCTGCGCTCCTTTTGTTTAGTTAGCCTTCCTGGGGGCGGGTTGGGGGTGTCTGCTCCACCGAGCAGCGTAGATGTGCTGACAAATGGCCAAACACATGGGTGTCACGCTCAGAGATGAGCGACTTGAAGACTGTATTAACATCAGTAGGTGGTGTAAAACATATGCAGACAAGGACACAAGGGATAGAAACTGCTACATTTAAATAAATCTGTGTCAATCTGCCTCAAATTAAGTCTTGTGCTTTGCAATTAATACAGTTTGCTTCTAAGCTCAGAAGACACTACTGAAATCACAGAATCATAGAATCACAGAATGGTTTGGGTTGGAAGGGACCTTAAAGATCATCTAGTTCCACCCCCCCTGCCATGGGCAGGGACACCTTCCACTAGACCAGGTTGTTCAAAGCCACATCCAGCCTGGCCTTGAACACTTCCAGGGATGGGGCATCCACAGCTTCTCTGGGCTCAGGGTCCCAGTGCCTCACCACCCTCTCTGTGAAGAATTTCTTCCTGATATCTAATCTAAACCTCCCTGTTTTCAATTTGTACCCGTCACCCCTTGTCCTGTCACTACAGGCTCTTGTAAAAAGTCCTCTCCCAGTACCCTTGTAGGCCCCTTCAGATACTGGAAAGCTGCAATGAGGGCTCCCTGGAGCCTCCTCTTCTCCAGGCTGAACAAGCCCAGTTCTCGCATCCTTTCGTCACAGGAGAGGTGCTCCAGCCCTCTGATCATCTTCGTGGCCCTCCTCTGGACTCGCTCCAAGTGGTCAATATCCTTCTGATATTGAGGGCTCCACAGTTGGACGCAGCACTCCAGGTGGGGTCTCACCTGGTATGGTAGATGCTTACATAGCCTTACCTCTTGTAAAGAGGCATCTCCGAGACGGAGTACCTGAGTTTGTTTCATGTCTTTTATGCACTGGACAACCACAGAGGGTGCAGTTATGGTCAAGAGAGACAGGAGATAGTGTGAAATGAGCTAGGCTAGCTGACACGAGTGGGGCAGGTGGAATCTGTTCCCCCGCATAACGTTTGTATTTGTAGTGTGTTTGCGTCCTCGACGCAGATGCAGTATTGTGGGAATCTACAGCATCTCTGAGGAGGTGTCCTCACCACATTCCTCTTAACGCAGTCTCCCCTGTTTCTAGTGGAAGGTGAACTGCAGAGCATTTGGCAAATGTCACGAATTCATAGAGGCCTCTGACTTTCTGGGGAATGTTGAGGCACGGTTTGTGTTGGATATAAGTTCTGCTCTCCAGGCAACTCTATCATGATCAGCAGCTACATGGCCTACTTTTTCTCTCAGCATTTCAGAATCCCTGTTTTTCCCCTCTGATGTACCATCTGTGACAGACTGTTGGTAGGATTTAAGGTCCTGACTTCTGGACAGCCTGCAGGACCACCGCCAAGTAGCTTTCACATTCACAGGCTGCAGCAGCAGTCTGCTTTGTGGTGTGTTTTAAAGACATCTGGAAGATCATGTCAGCCTACAGGGCTCAACCTGTACAAACTCAGGGTCTTTCTTTCTTACCAGTTTCAGAAAAGAAAATTGCTTTTTCCAAACCAGTGGCTCTGTATGCATTTCAGATCTATGCTGATGAGTGGCTTAGAATTAGCAGTTTAAACCTCGCCCGAGCTTCCTGCCTGGACCATTCTGGAGCTGCCCCTGAGATCTCCAAACTGATGCCTTACACCTCCTAAGCACTTTGAGTCACCTGCTTAACTCTCACAGCGCAGATCTCCACCTTGCCACGGGCACTGCCACCAAAGGGGTCACTAGGGGAATTCAAAGATTTAGAGATTTCAGATTACCAAGGGTTAAAGGCTTAACAGTGGAATTATAAAACACATTTAGATTTTGTTCCTTATGTCTATCCTCTACTTCAGGCACACTGGAGTAGTCTCCGTTGCCTGACGTGGATGGAGTTGTGTGGAGATCCTGATGGTCTGGCTTGCAGTGCTGTTGTTTCTTTGCTAGGCATCTGGCCCTTCCCCCAAAATGAATGCTCTGATCTGGGAAGGAAATTAGATTGTTGCAATAAGGGTCATGCCCAGAAGCACCGAACCAGGAGGAAGATTGCAATTTGAAACCAAGTTCACAATGAAATATATCACTGCATCCTGCAAGTACTGCAAAAAATGTAACCTTCTTAGCTTTATGTCTGCCCTTCATATTCCTTAGACCTTTCACAGCGGTTTAAAATCCAGGCATTTACAACCAGACTTCATTTAGCTTGGTGCATAAATTGCACCTGCAGCTAATTGAGGGGTCACAACCTTGCATCTTGACAGCCAAAGTGTAAGAAATCGTGCAGGCAGGCACCCAAGTGGTACAGCTAAATAAGCAGTCAGCTGAATACAATCACCTTAATGTTCACTGACTGAACCACATCAGCCTCTTCCTCATCATTCGGGATTTGTGT